ACATTTCAAGGCTTATTAGGGTAACTAGGCAGGTTAGGGCAATTAGGCAAGTTATTTTATGACAAGGTTTGTTCTGTAGACGATCGAAAAAATATATAGCTTAAAGGGGCTAATAATTTTGACCTTAATTTTTTTTTTAAAATAAAAACTGCTTTTATTCTAGCTGAAATAAAACGAATAAGACTTTCTCCAGAAGAAAAAATATTATCAGACAAACTGTTGGGAAAAAATTTAAAAAGAAAAAAAAATCAAAGGGGGGCTAATAATTCTGACTTTAACTGTATATATTCTAACTCTCAATTAAAAAGCCTGAAACGTTAGCTAATCGTTTCACAATTACAAATATGTCTGGATCTATAATTATGCCAACAGACAGTCTGGTGAAATATTAGTCAGCCCTCAAAAGTCTCTGAGTAACATTAAACACCTTCGATTTTGTCTGGGTCTCTTGGGACGCTATATTACTAACCTATAAAAAGTACTAAAAATTGCCTGCAAGCTCTCACTGAGCCCATGTTTCTCCAGCCGTCCGCCAGGCGTTCAGTCCCTCTGGATATTAAATCTCTGGGTGGTTTTCCCTTCAGGCCCTCAAAGAATCCAGACAGCCTGACTGCTCCACCCAGCCTGGGCTATAGAATCCAGCCATCAGCTTGCCTTTCTGAAGGTGTTCTGCTCAAATTTTGAATAAACCTGCGATCATAAATGATATTATCTAACAGCACTTTCTGTTCAATTCAGATCACTTGTTTAGTGGCTTCAGATGAACTGAGAGAAAAAAAAAAAAACAAAAAAAACAAGAAGTCCTGAAGGAAAATAATGTCAGAATAGAACAGCATGTTATTGCCTGCTGATGAAGAAATCTTGTCTAAACCCTTTGTGCGGTGAAAAATGCCACAAATAAATTCCAAAACGATCAGACATAATAAGAACACCTTGAACAAGTCATGTCCCAGTTTTTTTGTACACGTTCTTTGTTGGTTACAAGCACTTAAATATAGGCAGACACTTACAAATGTGGTCAGTTTGTTGGTATCCCTTCAGGAATATAGTGTTTGGAACATTTCAAACAAATAAGGAACGAATGAATGAACAAATAAACAAACAAATAAATAAAATAATACTCTAAAGTATACAACAACAGTGCACCAGCAAAATTCAACAATATTGCTTTAGGACTCTAGTACTCTTCACTCTGTGCCTGTTGTTTATCTGAATATTGGTGAAATGATAATAACGGTTAGTGTTATGACAGAGGCTGGCAATTCTTCTCAAGGAAGACACACTCAAAATGAAGTATCCTCTAAAATGATTAGCTCTTTGTGAGGGTTCAGCTTAGAGCTCAATGTGGAGTCAGGTATAACGTCGCTTACACAAACTGTCATCTCCACATGACTACTAGAGTGTAATCCCAGTTTAAACAAAAGAATTCAATTAACCGATGCCATGACAACATTAAGCTGATGAGGACTCACTAACGTGGCTGCTGAACGTGTATTCTGGAGTTTCTCTTGCGAAGATTTGTTTTAACAGAAATGTTAAAAACTGCAATTAGAATTTGAACAACCGCAAGAGGGAACCTGGCAAGCCTGGCGCTATCACTCGAGACTCAGTTGAATAAGAATGTTAATCAACATTTTGTTGATTATAAATATTCAAACGTGAATTCATACATGCTTACATGGTTTGGTTTAATCCTGCTCAGATAATGTGATCCAAACAAGTGTTGAAAATGTTGTCCTTTTCACACCTGCTAACTAGTTTAAGCTACTAAAGTATGCTTGTTTGAAATATTCACTATAATTGAAACTAGTTTAACATGCAGGTAATAAACAACATGCAAATATGCAACACAGGAGTGTGCATCAAGGGTAAAGAGGATTAGAAATCATTTGCATAGTAAACAGGCCAAACAACAACAACAAAAATAAATAAATATGAGGTAAATAAACCTTGAAATGAGTCCTTGTCTACCTTCATCCATTTGTGCAGCACAGAGTTTATTAATCAATATTTGTGGGGCATAATTACAGTTGTTTTACTCATTCTAGGAAATGGAGATTCATAAGTGACCTGTAACAAATGCATTATACGTTCGAGGGGTAATGAGGTCCCTTTCATGCTTTCATTTATCAGTGATTTGGCAAGTCATCTGAGCAGCAGGAAATTAACTTTACACTTTTTAATTGTGTTTTGTGTTTATCTCGATTCCTTGGCGCCGCTTAAAACCCCAGCAGCTCAATCTTCATAGAGAACGTTTCTTGAGCAGTAACGCATATAATGAATCAATGCATCCACACCCATCGGCCAGAATCAGCAGGGCACTTTCCTTCATTAGGTGACCTTCTGAAAACACAGCAGTCAATGTTTATCTGTGTTTGTCTGTCTCGATGTCTTTATACCTGCACAACAGACCTCCTGCCCTTCACTGGCCAATCAACAAGACTGTATGCTTTCAGCAACCATTTTAGTTTCAATGCATTTTATACACAATCACACTCTACAGTTGTTAGTTAGTTATTATGTCCATTAATTTATGTTACTGCATGAACTGCTCATGAACAACAAGCTTTATATTATCTGTAACACTTATACAATAATGATCTGTTAGTTCATTTTAGTTATCGTACTTACTAACATAAACAATACAGTATTTATTCATCTATGTTGATGTTGGTTAATGAAAATTATATTGTTCATTGTGGGCGACAGGGTCGCTCAGTGGTTAGCACTGTCGCTTCACAGCAAGAAAGTCACTGTTTCAAGTTCCGGCTGGGTCAGTTGGCATTTCTGTGTGGAGTTTGCATGTCCATGTGGGTTTCCTCCACAGTCCAAAGACATGCGCTATAGGTGAAATGGGCAAACTAAATTGGCCGTAGTGTATGTGTGTAAATGAGTGTCTATCAGGGTGCATCCACGTTTTTGCTACTAAAATTTCAAGAATTTTCCATTTTTTTCCCAAGACTTTCAAGTAAATTTTCAAGAACTAATTTTTCATACAATGTCTACGTATGCGTAGTAAAAACAATACATGTTAAAATTTATTACAGCATATTGTAAAACACGCAACAATTTATTCAGTTACATTTATATTTATTAATTCATTTACTTATTTATTCATTTTCTTTTCAGCTTAATCCATTAATTAATCTGGAGTCGCCACAGTGGAATGAACCGCCAACTCATCCAGCATATGTTTTGAGCAGCCGTTGCACTTCCATCTGCAACCCATCACTGGCAAAACATCTATACACACTCATTCACACTCATACACTACAGAGAACTTTAGCTTACCTATACCACATGTTTTTGGATTGTGGGGAAAACCGAAGCACCCAAAGGAAAACATGGGGAGAACGTACAAACTCCATACAGAAATGCCAACTGACCCAATCGAGGCTTGAACCAGTGACCTTCGTGCTGTGAGGCGATTCTGCTACTCCCTGTGCCATAGTGATGCCCAATTTATATTTATATCTATAAAAATGTATTTAGATAATGCTTACACATTAATATGCATTATTAATGCGAGAGTGTATGATTAACCAAGGACAAAAAAAAAATAAGTAAAATCAACTAACCTATATTCAAGTATACACATAAACGGCGTTTTCCATTACTTTTCCAAAACTTTGTGGGTTTTTCTGTTTTTCCAAAACTTGTCCTGGAAAATGCCATGTCAAAATTCCATGACTTTTCCAGGTTTTCCATGACCGCATGAACCCTGGTCTATGGGTGTTTCACAGTGTTGGGTTGCAGCTGGAAGGGCATCCTCTGCGTAAAACATATGCTGGATAAGTTGGCAGTTCATTCTGCAGTGGCAACTCCTGATAAATAAAGAGACTAGGCCGAAGGAAAATTAATGAATGAATGGATATTGTTAGTTTATTTTAACTGACTGCATTGACTAATGTTAACGTGCACAATTTTGCATTTAATGCATTAGTAAATATTGAAATATGATTAATAACAAGTATTGCTTATTTGTAGCTAACAAATGAAACCTTATCATAAAGTGTGACCATATCATCTATGTTAATGTTAATTAATAAAAGATGTCATGTTTATTTATTTATTTCTTGTAGTGCTGGTACTCACTGACTTGCATTTTATGGAATCATCAATGATCACAATTTTGTAGGGAGCAAATCAGCCACATCTCAGGGAGGCCTGAGAGTGAGTAAAATCTTAGGATAATATTATCATTTTTGGGGTAACTATCCTTTTAACTGAGATCTATCTATCTACAATTAACAAAACAATAAAGAAAAATAAATAAATATCTTAAGCTAGATGTGAGCATTTAGATCTATTTCTATTTGACCTTTACGGAAATCGTTTGATTGCTGCAACTCGTGCAGGTTAGTGACAAAACAAAAAATTGCAAGCTCAAAACAGCTGCCAGACAAAACAGGTTATGATGATGTTTAATGGTTTACCTGCTGATGATGTAATGCTTTTCAATGACTTGAGAAAAACATGAACGTTTCATCGGATGTCGTGACATGCTTGAGTGCCCTACCCACGGTTCAAGTCTTATCTTGATAGAGTAGACTTCTGTGTTTTAAGTGCTGTGACAGGGAAAGTTTCCTCACCCGCTCTCAAAGATGTTTTGATATTTTCTCTGTAACTGACTGAATTCATTAAGCCACGTTTAACTGTTCATAAAACGTTATTACCTTTTAGTTCATTATTTCCAGTCGAACTTTACAGCATTGCTTAGTCTTTCTTGAAATAACGACAGCAAACATTGTCCGACAACGTTTAATCCTAGAAGTCCGAGAACCCCACGCTTGTCTGTTTTAGACTAAAATTAAGGATCCGCCTTCGCTTTAAGCTGATTCGCCCGTGTTTTTACACGAAAGCCTTTCGCGCGCCAAAGGTGGGTGTGCTCTCTGTCAGTCAAGATAAGTGACACGCCGAATGCGCTAAGCCCCGCCCCCCAAATGCCGAGGTATTTGAGTGAGAGACGGCTGTTTTATTCACCCAGAGAGCTGGTGCTGGAGCGTAGTCAATGGGAAGGGAACGCCGCGTTGGAAAAAGCGCACACTGTTTAGCCAACTTTCAACTACACCATGGTTTGCACCTCAGTTTCGTGTGTGTGGATTATATTTTGCCTTCATTTATGTTTTTATGTGAACACTGGAATAGCACAGAACACAAGAGAGGGTGAGTGCGAAAGTTTCCTTTATTGCATCTTGACAGCGCGAACAAATCATTAGTTACAGCAGATACTGTATCGACAATGTGACAGACAAACAGATAATTGTTTTTATCACACATTAGACAATGATATGCGCCTGTCTCTGATAATGCGAGTATTTTTATCCCTGGCGCATAGACTTTCGCCAAGACACGAAGACGAGTGATTTACAACTGCACAACGCGACTAAAAATGAAAACACAGACAGCAGTTTTTATCTGGTTAAGATACCCTCACCTCCATGTATCTTCTGGTTATCAGCTGCTCGTTTGTCGTGCTTTCCATTCAGTGCAGTGAAACAACAGCAATATCAAACTTGAAAAAGATCTGCTTGTGGCTTGTTAACCAGCCCGGCAGAATACGGACAATTCTGCAACTGGACTGCGACATGTGCGATCAGCTTCAGTTAGTAGAAAAGGAATTGTCCGGGATGAAAACCTCCTGCAATCATACAGCAATCGAACTGCTTCATTACCAAGTTATCGAGCAGATAGCCTACAGAATTAACACACAGATCGCTGTGTTATTATTACAGCAGTTCTGTGTCTGAAGCTGCTGAAAATATGTATATCACACACTTCAGCATCGACTATAAAACATATAGCATGAACCCGAGGTATCGTTCGTCCGGACTGAAACCTGAAATTGATGAATCCCTCTGTGTACTTCCAATACATTGATCTTATGGCTGTTGTGTGTAGCTAGTTCAGTTATATGAGAAGAGTCCTGAAAAGGCAACACTCTCAGTTCCTCGTTTATTTATCGGATTATTTTGTATTTATTTATTAATTTTGGATTAAGATCGTGCTGTCTGTCCTATGCCCCCTTGAGAGTTTATAATTACAATTTCCCCTTAAGTCGTTATTTATTATAACTCATTCTCTTCAGTTTAGTCACTCGATCACTCAAAAAGCAGATAACAGTTCAGCGAAATGTATTTGACTAACAAAATAGCGATTAATTTCGCACGCGTTTTAGCCGGCGCGCGCGCATCCGCGTAATATTCTCACTGGTTTACACAAGGGAACTTTAGCGATTTTTCGATCGCACAGCTGAAGCGAAAGCGTGCCTGTCGGTTATATTGACACACGAACAGGTGTTGCGCAGGTTTCAGAGGTGTTGGGTGCTTATTGTCATAAATCTCCACCGCTGTCTGCTGAAAATGGGTCAAACTCGCGCGCTCGCTCACGTTTCGTCTGTGTCTGCGCTCGCTCGCGATGTAAAATGCTTCTGGAATATGAACGAGATGTCTGCCAAACATTAATCACAATTAAAGATGCATTATTGTAAGTGTTCACTTTGTGTGTCGTCGGCAGTGATCCTGCTGGATTCAAAGGCGCAGCAGACAGAGCTGGAATGGATATCGTCTCCTCCAAGCGGGGTAAGCTGGAAACTTTGCAACTTTTGCTTATTGCAACTAACATTTATGATTTTCTGCAATGCGCGTACTTCTTGTGGCATTTTAATAACAACCTAAAATTATGCGGCGGAGTAATATGTTGCTTTTCTCAGATGTGAGCCTTTATACATGAATGTTTCTAAACGGTAAACAATAAATAATTTAGTTTTGCTTTATATGAAGGTGGTTTTGTTTCTTATAAAAGTTGTTTGTGAGCTCTAAACTACTTTTTACAGGCGTTTAAAATAAAAGTTAATTTGCTTTAACTAAAGACATCTAATTGAGCCTTTGCTGAACTTTGTAAATTAACTTATTTTCTTTGTTATACTGCTTTTGTTGTTTAAAAAAGACTTGAAAGATTAAAAAAAATTGTTTAAACATAAAAATCATAAATAATGTGTAGCAGCAATTTACAAGTATTAGTTATATTAGGAACAAAAAAATATTATTTTGACCTGCTGTTTTTACTGGATTAAATAGTTTTAATTACTTGTAAATGCTTTTGTAGTTTATATTTTTATTAATTTGTCTTGTAATAAGTGCTGTAATGTTCTACTAAACTTTTCAGAATTACTTGAATTCAAAGTTTGCAAAAAGTATTGTGCATGTGTTTGTTTAATTAATAAAGATGTGGCTAGGATACATATAAGCATTTTAGGAAAACTTGTAAAAACACCAAAAATTATGTTTGCTTTATACCCTTAAAACATTTTTTTTTCCATTGTAGTTACTTTTTTATGTTGACTGTGTACATTGTTACATTGTTGTTTATAAAGCTTTGCAGGATTTATTAAAAAGTATATATATATATATATATATATATATATATATATATATATATATATATATATATATATATATATAAATCTATTTTAAGATGCACATTATTTTCACATTTATTGGCTGATATCAAGAAAAAAAAATCACTAAAATAAATATTTTAGGTGAATACACTCAACAAAGACACCGATTAAACTGTGTTAATTTCAGCGATTTGAAAAATGTAGCAGCTGGCTGCAGATGAATTCATTCAGATCATCTTTATATCCCGCATATTTTCACACAGAGACTGGTTTTAACACGCTGTAGCATTCTCCCTTGACGTTAGTTTTGAGCTTTTTAGTGTAATGATGATTAACTGCGTTTTCCTTTTTCTCAGTGGGAAGAGATCAGCGGCTTGGATGAAAACTACACACCCATTCGCACATACCAGGTCTGCCAGGTCATGGAGCCAAATCAGAACAATTGGCTACGGACTAACTGGATTGAAAAGGGCGATGCCCAGAGGATTTTTGTGGAGCTGAAGTTTACCTTGAGGGATTGTAACAGCCTTCCAGGGGTGGTTGGCTCTTGCAAGGAGACGTTCAACTTGTACTACCAGGAAACCGATGTGGAGGTGGGCAGGAATATAAGGGAGAGTCAGTATGTGAAAATTGACACTATAGCCGCGGACGAGAGTTTCACTCAGGGTGACCTGGGGGAAAGAAAGATGAAGCTCAACACAGAGGTGCGTATAATCGGGCCCCTTTCTCGCCGAGGCTTCTACTTAGCCTTTCAGGATGTAGGCGCCTGCATTGCTTTGGTCTCCGTCAAAGTGTATTATAAGAAGTGTTGGTCGATTATTGAGAACCTGGCCACGTTCCCAGATACAGTGACAGGTTCGGAGTTTTCATCTCTGGTGGAAGTGGAGGGCACATGCGTCAACGATGCAGAGGAGGAGGCCGACAATTCTCCCAAAATGCACTGCAGCGCAGAAGGAGAATGGCTGGTGCCCATTGGGAAATGTATATGCAAAGCTGGATTTCACCAGAAGGGAGATGCATGTGAACGTGAGTACTTTATTTTCATTTGCACAAATCTGTTGGCATGTATTAGAACCCAGCTGATTAACCTTATGTACGACAGAAGATAGGACAATGGAGCAATTAATAAGATATTATTATGTGTAAGACTCGTTTATGTGTGCATTCACCAAGACAGTCCTTGTTCCAATTGCTTGACTGAGTGCCCAAGCATAGAATTATCCCAATTTGAGGTAATTCATCCGAATTATACCAAACCAATGCGAAAGCAAAAACAAACCATGCTGAAAAACATGAAGCAGCTGATGAACGATTAATAAAAGAAAAGCTGAATGAAAAATAACCAGCAACAAAAAACGCATGCTTACTGGGCGAAGATAATAATGATGGATTAAATGTGGGGGCAAAAATCCTTGGCACAGTAATTGAAATCCCTGTAAGTCGTTTGATTTGTGGGCTTTTAATTTATTGCCTTATGCACATTGGCACATATTAAATGATAACTAGCACTCCAGTCTAGCTCTCAGAAACAGCCACTCTATTTTTTCCACTCTTTTCTTTTCTTTCCATTTGGCAACAAGCCAAAACCAATCATTTGCAAATGACACCATGTATAAAAGAGCTTCAGCCCATAGCCTATTCCGTCTTTGGACCTTTGAAATGACCCTTAAAGAAAGACAAAACAAACAACAGAGAAGTTATTTAGGAAGTGTCCAAACAGGAAACGTAATTACAGTAGTGTCTGATATACTCTGCAATTAACACTAAAACACTACTAGTGCCTTCACCGTCAATAATGGTGCTAAGCATTTTTTTTGCCAGTCACATGACGCATGATTAGTATCTAAGGGACCGGATCTTTTGGTTTTGTATGGTTTAAGTGGCCGTCTACCCTTTTTTCTGCCATTCTGGGTCACCTCTGGATTATCAAGTGTGCAGACCAGTAATGATTTATCTGATATCTGTGGAAGGTTTGGATAGCTTTTATGCGGTGCACATACACGTCTACATCATTAAGTTATCACGTAAAGGGTGCTTCAGAACACTATTATGCTATCAGAAGCTAAAATGGGCAAGGCTGCTTCATGGTGAGAGGTTGTTGCAAAGCTGAAAGCCATTTCAAAAGGCAGAAAGGGAGCAAAGGAGAAAGTTGATGGTGCTTCTATGTAATATGGGCTATCTGGCACACATTAAGCATAATAAAAGGATGCATTTTATGTGCTTTTTTCAATTCCACCCTTTTAACCTATTAAACATTCAGGGATTTTTATTCACTCAAAGGAAGAATAAAAACCTAAATTAAATAGTGAAACTTTCATGCAGTGAAAAGGAACGGCAAACTCTTAAAAAGTCTCGAATGCTTTCCCTGAGAATTAATCGCTGTTCAAGAAGCCAACTTACATTCCTCAAAAACAATGTCGCATGTTTCTCTGAGAGACGGCGACAAACAAACCCTGTCACCCATTTAGATTCCTGCCCCCTTCCATTGTCACTTTATGAGTTGTGCGTCGCTCCTGGCATGAGTGGCTGTGATATTACCGCTGTAGTTAATCTAAATAAAATGAGCATGAGACTGCCGCATCAGCACTTCCTCTTAGCGATCCTCCCGATATTAAATTGCCTGTTCAGAGTTTCCCCCCGAGCACCGAACAGACTGAAAAATACTGGTGTGTTTTCTCCTTCTGTTAGACAAACAGTAATGCAGTGCAAGGTATCTGGGGCTGAAGGCCTGTGAGTGACAGGGGTCTTTTTAATATGGAGGACTGATCTTTCCAGGAGTATACAGCTCATGTTGCAGCTCTTTTCGTTATCCTCTCTTTCTTTTCCTCCCCTCTGGGGCTTGGCCAAGACATTGTGACCCTGATGGCTCAGAATGCTCCTGTTTTTACACCATCTCACTGTGTTCTGTTATAAAATCCACCCTATTTATATACTGATACGCACACAAACAGACGCTCATGCATACAGGGTAAAGTCTAAAATGTCTTGCATTAAAAATTGAGAGGGGAAACCTGAGGAGGCCCATGAAAATGGCTGTTTTGACCATCTCATTCATCAAACTCCTGATGGAGGATTGTGTGTCTATCATTTCTTCCTCTTTTTTTGTTTTCCTCTTCCTCTAAATGGGCATTCGCACAGGACACACATCCGCTGACACAGTATTTAATTGCTTTTTGATGTAAACTTGTGCTAGCCTGATGGCTTTGATGCCACATGTTTGAGAAAGGCATTGGATGATATCTGTTTTCAAGGTATACTGTGGTTTGGAACTGTCAAGGTTTTAAAACCGCCCCAATTTTTTTTTGCTATACCGCTGCTACAGTATATGTAAGATTTTATAAAATGTTTATTTTTTTTTCTTTGCTTTTTAGGACAACAGTATCCCCAGCAGTAAAATATATCCAAAGATGGTGTTTTAAATTGTAAAGAAATCTTTTGAAACTAATGAAAACAGTAGAAGTCAATGATTCATTTTAATTATTTAGCTTGACATGTTTACTGTTCCAAAATATTTTAAATGTTTCTCAAAATAAAAAATATTGTGTTCAAAGGGGAAACTAGTTTTAGTTTTTTACCCAGACATTTAAAAATCGAGAGAAGTCTGTTTCCGATGCCTCCTGGACGCCTACTCAGGGCGGTGTTCTATAGGCAAGTCCCACCAGTAAGAGACCTTAGGGAAGTCGGCGCAATAGCCTAGTGGTTAGCGTGTCGACATATGGTGCAGTAGCACGTCAAGGCATCCCGAGATTGAATCCCAGCTTGAGGACATTTCCCTACCCCCTCTCTCTCTCTTCAACTCCGCTTCCTGTCTAAATACTGTCCTATCTAAAAAAAGCCAAAAAGAAGTCTTTAAAACAAAAAACAAAAAAGAGACCTTAGAAAAGACCCAGGACATGCTGAAGGAACTATGTCTCTTGGCTGGCCTGGGAACGCCTTGCAACTCGGCCCCAGAGAAGCGGTGATGAAAATGGATGAATGAATATTTTAGAGCAGTAATCACAATACCGTCAAACCATGATATTTTTCTCTGAGGTAAATCATACCGACAGACTCTTATACCGGCTGGTGTCTAGTTTGAGACACCACCAACTTTTTCATTCTAAAGGCTTAAAGGCGCAGTTCACTCCTAAAAAGAAAATTCTGTCATCAATTGTTTTCTATTTCTTTCCTCTGTGGAAAAGTTATTTAAAAAAAAAATTCTTTGAAAGTAGTTTTGAACCCACTGATGCAAAACCTTTTTTAATATTTCATCTTTTGTGTGTCACAGAAGAAATTCATACAGGTTTGAAATAATTTCTCCAAAGTCTCAATGCAAGTCTTCCTGCTTTTTCAGAGATCTGTTCCTCGCAGTCACAAGAATCAGTGTTATGAGTGTTGAAAAAAAAAGAAAAAGCAATCTGAAGTGTTCAGCAGCATGCCAGAGTTTATTTGCATAGAGCTCAAGAAAAAATAGGCGGCCATTCATTTGCGAAGCTCTGTTCAACAGTGGCTACTCAGAGAAAATGGAGACACTAAGTCCTTTGGAGGCAGAAAAAGAGTCCTTGTAGACAGACATTGATCTCTTTGTTTTCGTAAAGCTTTTGCGAACAATCTGTGGAATGTATGTTGCTCGACTACACCACGTCACATCAATAATCATATATTGTCTGAAGAAACGCCTAATATTAACTGATAGCTCACCCACTTCCACTTGTGTTAATTACCAGCCAAGCCTCTGTTTATTATTCTATGGGGAAAAAACAAGCTAGCATTGGCTAACATGCTAACAGGAGGAGTTACTGGCAACGGCAGGCGCTGACACCATCCATCTCCCAGATGTCAAATAGTTGGACAGAAGTTAGTCAAAGCCTGATGGATTGCCAGAACACGGAAGGAGGCCGCTATCTGTGGAGACAAGCTCCAGGAGCAGGCGAGGTGGAGGGATGCAAGAGCAAGACTCTGGCTTGGTGAGGCCGTGCTTTGCATTTCAAATGATGCAACCAGGAGTCGGGGGTGGGCGGATTGTATAAAGGCTTGACACGCAAGTGATTGATAAGGTGTGAAAGTAAAGGCTACAAACGGTCATCCGTTAGAGAACTGTAAGTGGGCTTAATTATTCAAACGGAGACAAGTTCCTCAGGGAAGCCCGTTGGGTCTGAAGCTGTCAGGGTTAGAATCATCTGCTGATGGATAATAGCCTTCTCGCCTGGTCAGGGTCTTGGAGAACTGCCGTATGCTCCTACGACACTGTTTGTTTTTCCCCCTTGGTTTTGTCAGATGGAAGGTTGTTTTGAACATGAGCGGAGCTGTCATTCTGTCATGTCGTCAAGGCTGTCAGTTGGCACTCGTCCAGTTATTGATGTTTCTTCATGTTCGCAATCACATTTCCTGTTGTTTCGCTGGATCAAAGGTAAAGTAACGAATGGTTAACATAACAAAATAAAGGAGTAAAGGCCTATATTTTGGGTATAATTTACTCCATTTTAAAGTACAAATTATTATCAATATTTTTACTGTGAACAAAAAATAATAATAAAAGAATAGAATATAATCTGTTATGGCCTCATGTGGTTTTGTGAGATATAAAATATTATAAAGTGATATTCACATTTTAGAAAATAAAAAAGTGAAATTAATCCAAGCTAACCTTGGAATTAACAGGTAAAATCTGTCACTCATTTTGCGCATAATTTAGAACAGGCAAACTGACTAAACTGGGAATCATTATTTAGTTATATTTTATTCAAAATCACACAAAATTGTAGTAATTCTCTATTTAATCATTTAATTATTTACGACGATGATCCCTCTCCTCGTTGGATGTTTTACAAAGAAAAAAAAAATGCTTAACATAATACTACAATTTTGTGTGAGATGCAGGTGAAGTCAGAATTATTAGCCCCTTGAAGTCAGAAATATTATTTAATTATTAGAATTATTAATTTTTTTTTTCTTTTTTAATATTTCCCAAATAATGTTTAACAGAGCAAGGAAATTTTCACAGTAAGTCTGAAAGACATGGGCTGGTATAAGATTCTGACGGTCTG